AGACATAGGCCCTCTTTCTCAAGAAGAGCCAAGTCAACTTAGCACAAACCAGTGTTTGCAACCACCAATTCATAGATTAAACCATAAAATTGACCCAAATAACAAACACCCATAGTCAATCTAACAATAGATGGCAACAACCATCAATTACCTACACTAGGATTGAGCCACAACCCTAGCTAATGGGTTTAGCTACTCATGCTTGAAGGAGAAAATAGAGAAATAGATGAAAAACAAGGCATATTAATTAAATGCTAAATTAAAATACAAGAATCTATCGTTAATTTGAAGCTCAGATGCCAAAAATGGCTACAGATGAAGTTCCAACGAGCACAACTAAGTTCTGGATATATCTGATGACCTAAAAATGGTAAAATATTCTATTTATACTAGGCTAAAAAAACTGGACAAAAATACCCCTGCAGGGTCAGTGCGGGCCGCATAAAATAGACCGCGGCCGCGCTAGGCTCTTGGACTTCAATTCTGAGCTCTCTGACTTGGGCTCCGTGGACCGTGTAGAATGGAACACGGCCGCGGAGGCAGCTGTCACGGTCCGCACAACCATAACCGCATTGGCATTTTCCATCTCTCTGAATATCTCTTCCGCAGACCGCACAAACCGGCAGTGCGGTCGCAGAACCTTTATTGCGGACCGCATAAAAAGTCAGTGCGGCTGCGAAACCTTCACCGCGGACCGCGCAATGTGGACTGCGGCCGCATTGCCTGAAGCCTGGTTTTGCCATCTCTCTGAATCACCTAGTGCGGCCGCATTCGACTTTGTGCGGTCCGCACTAGGCCTGTTTGCCCTCAGTTTACTTTGTCTTTGATGCTTGAGCAGGTTTAACTCCTTTTGAGCCGATCTTTGACATTTTGTCACTTTGTCGATCAAACCTGCAATCAAGCACAACTTATGAGCCTTTTGGGACTATTTTGTAACGATTTATAATCAAAACATAGGCAAGAAGGATCATGAAACTCGTTAAAATCCCTACTTATCAGTCGACTTTGTTGCTTTCGCTTATCTGGATCCGCCAAGACTTGGTGGAGAGATTATTGTTTGGCTATACCAGCCGGATCACCAGCTTTGACTTGGGAGCAGTTTTCTCAGCTATTTCTGGAGAAGTTTCTTCCCATCACTCAGAGGGAGAACTATAGGAGGCAGTTTGAGCGTCTCCGGCAGGGTTCTATGACTGTTACTCAGTACGAGACCATATTTATTGACTTGTCCCATCATGCTCTTATCATACTTCCCACTGAGAGAGAGAGAGAGATAGAGTGATGAGGTTCATTAAGGGACTTATTCAGCCTATTCGACTTCAGATGGCTAAGGAGACGGGGAGCGAGATTTCTTTTCAGGATGCGGCCAATGTGGCCAAGAGAGTTAAGATGGTTCTATCATAGGGGGTAGTCAAGGGTCTGACAAGAGGCCTCTTCATTCAGGCAGATTCAGTGGTGCCATTCTCCTTGGCCTTTTCAGTCAGCACTTCAGGTTTCTCACGGTGCTTCAGGTGGTTGTGGTTCTCATATGCAGTATTCTGATCAGTAGTCCTATAGTGCACCACCAACTCCTATCAATGCACTGCCGCTCCAGAGTTTTCAGGGTGGTCATTCAGGTCGTTAGGGTCAGCAGTCACAGCAACCGAGGGCTTGTTATACTTGTGGCGATATGGGACATATTGCTATATTTTGCCCTCGAGCATTGAGTAGCTCTCAGCATCAGGGTTCCCATGTCATGGTTCAGGCACCGAGTGTTCCACAGCCCGCATGATGAGATAAGCATAATATGCTGGAGTTCATACACAGGTGTACCAAACTCCAGTATATTATGCTGGACCGGTCTGTGCTGCAGCAAAATAATGACTATTTTTCATTGACTTGGTAAATGCTGGCTATTTATGAATGACCAGTCCGAAAACTGACTATACCGTGCTATTTTTACAACAAAAATGTTCAATTATTTCAAACTTAAAGGATCAAATGGGTTCGAATAATAAAATTTGGGCAAAATTAAGCATATTTCCTAATTTGAGGAACCATTTGGAGTTACAAAACTCTCTCTTTTGGACACATATAATAAGTGGAGTCATTTTATACAAATTGAATACTAAAAGCTTATAACATGAAGCTACCTTCCAATGACATTCGTTTATAATGTAATATTTTTTCTGTCTTAATTTATGCAGCACTTTTTATTTTTTGATAGTCAATTGGATTAAGTTTTGAAGCTAAATTAGATTAGATCAACTTAATATTTTGAAATCAAAATTTTGATATTTGAAAAACTATATTAAAGTACTATAAGTTATAATTTTTTTTATGTCAATATAATGATAAATATAATTTAAATTGGGACCGAGGGAGTAGTAAGTTTTGGTAATAGGTTAATGTGAGATGTCAAGTACTACTAACAAAATAATGTGGGACTAATTTCGAATTAAGTTATACTTGACGGACCGAAACAACATTTTTCATAAACGGAAGAAGAAAGAGAATCAGACTTGTTAAACTGGACCGTGGGCTCGAAAACTTCACCGAAACACAGTGATCTCTGGAGCTTCGATAGAGCCATGGAAGCATTGGCAAAGCTGGAGAGAGTCCAGACTCGACTCCTCAAACGCCTATCGAACCTCGAATCTTCTCTTCTCTCTCAACATTTCTCTCAAAACCTCTCTCTATCAACTTCCTCCACCACCGAAGATCGCCTTTCCGGCACTCTTCGCGCCAACGGCGTCGTCGATTTCAGCTTCAAACGCGTCCCCTCTGATTACTATGATTGGCCGCTCAAATCTCATCGTGATATTGTCAGTGTCGCATCCATTCAACATCTCTGCAAAAGCATTGTTCTGGTACCTCCTCTTTTCGCAATTCTTTTATTATTTTATCGGATAATTAACTCGTAATTGTATCTATGTTTTTGAATTAGTCATTGTGTAGTTTTACAATTCATGTGAACAAAATGTGAAACATGTTTTCTCCGACATTTTGAATAATTATCAGAAGGTTGCTTGCATTTAGTACGAGTGTGGTATTTGCTATAGCATTGTATAAATACAACTTATTGGACGAAATTTAGCATTTTGGATTATGAAAGACGACTGACTAGAGGTTATTTATTGAATGAGATTTCAATGGACATATTGGGTCGACTGCTGGTGGCTATGGCGAGGTGCATGGCGGCTTCGGCTATGGGGATACGAACGGAGGAGGAACCTTGCTGTTGGATTTCGCTAAGGCATTTGAGCTGGTGATTACAAATTCTAGTTTTCCGAAGAGGGAGGAGCATTTGGTTACTTTCCAACGTACGTTGACGAAAACAGCCTCTCGATCCTCACAAGTTAAGGGTAAGGTCTGTGTACACACTATCCTCCTCAGACCTCACGATGTGGGATAATACTGTGTATGTTGTTGTTGTTGTTGGCGAACCTCAGATTGATTATCTACTCCTCAGGAGGTGCGATAGAGGGTTGTCCAAGGATTGCAAGGTTATCCAGAGTGAGACCCTCACGACACAGCATAGGCTCTTGGTGATGGACGTCGATATCATGATAAGGATGAAGAAGAGGCCTGTTCAAGGATGACCGAGGATTAGGTGAGGAACCTTGACTAAGGATAAAGAGAGATGAAGGCTCGGGATCTGGATCAAGTGAGGTGCATCAAAGACGAGAACGGTATAGTATTGATAGGGGAGGCTCAAACTAAGCGGAGATGACAAACTTACTTTCATGGTCTTCTGAATGAAAAGGGGGATCGAGATATTGTGCTAGGTGATTTGGGGCACTCAGAGAGTCTAACTTGATAAAATTAATAAATGTAAACTAATTAGAAGAAACTAGAAAGTGAATAATTGTTTTTGATGTTTTTAATCAAATGGGAAAAAGCCTAGGGATGTAACATTTGCCTAGGTGCTAACCTAATGGGTAAATCACGTTAATGCTTGTCTTATTGACCGGGGTGTATTGTAACTCTCAACTCTCAATTACCAACTTAATACCTCTCGTTTATTGAGTAGTTATACCCAAACTGGCTTTCTCAAGTTCAATTGGGTATTAATTTAATCAGTTGATATAAGCCCAAGTCGTGTTTTCCCTATCTCTAGTTCAAACCCTTTAATTAGACTAGCCAAAACCTTAAATAGCCCAATTTCTTGTTAGCCAAGTTTTCCTAGACTAACTCCCTCTTCTCAAGTAAGAATCAAGTCAAATAGGCATGAATCAATGTTTGCAACTATTAAATATAGAAATAATGCATAGCAAGGCTAAATAATAAACACCTAATCATAAAGAAGCATTAAATTAAGGATCCATAAGGTTTATACACTAGGGTTGGGTCACAACCCTATAGAAAATCTAGCTAATCATGCTAGAAAGTAAAGAAAAAGAAGAAGAACCAATTAAAGCCATAAACTAAGATTAAATTGATAAAACTAATGATTCTTCACCCAAAATAGTTACAACTTTCCCAAAACAGCAAAAGATAACTGCTATAGCTAAAAACTATTCAAAACTTGCCCTAAAAAAGTGTTTCCTGTCTATTTATAGACTACAGTGCCTTGAAATTCGCTGACGAAAATGCCATTCGGGAGGTTCTGCAATCGCACAATTCCATGTGCGGTTCGCGCTTTTCTTCTCTTTTTCAGTTGGAGCAATTCTGCAGCCGCACTATTCCATCTGCGGCTGCACTTCAGCTTCTGCGACCGCACTTTTCTATCTGCGACTGCACTTTTGGCGAGGCTTCACACTTGGTCGTTTTGCACCTTCTCTAAACTTTAGAAATTTTGTCAGTGCGACCAGGTTTTGCGGCCGCACAATTGCATGTGCTGTCTGCACTTGTTAGAACTTCTTCTGAGGCTCAGGTACCAAACTGAACTGAGTTGTAACAATTATAGTGGTATCAAGTTACTAAGTCATACCATAAAAATTTGGAAGAGGGGGATGGAACTGAGGGTGAGGAGGAACGTTACTATATCTGACAACCAGTTCGGGTTCATGCCGGGTCATTCAACTACGGAAGCTATCCACTTTATTAGGAGGTTGATGGAATAATACAATGATATGAAGAAGGATCTGCACTTGGTGTTTATTGACCTAGAGAAAGCGTATGACAAGGTCCCTAGAGGGGTTTTCTGGAGATGCCGGGAGGCAAAAGGTGTGCCGGTAACTTACACTAGAGCGTTCAAGGACATGTATAACGGAGCTAAGACTCGGGTTAGGACAATGAGAGACGACTCAGAATATTCCCGATTGTTATCGGGTTACATCAATGATCTGCGCTTAGCCCGTTCTTATTTGTCGTGGTGATAGACGCACTGACATGCCATATTCAAGGGGAGGTGCTATGGTGTATGTTGTTCGCTGATGACATAGTTCTGATTGATGAGACGTGAGGTGATGTTAACAAGAGGCTGGAGGTTTGGAGATAGGCCCTTGAGTCTAAGGGTTTCAAGTTGAGCAGGACTAAGACAGAATACCTGGAGTGCAAGTTCAACACCGAATCGAGGGAAGCAGGCATGGACGTGAGACTTGGATCACAGGTCATCCCCAAGAGACAGTTTCAAGTACCTTGGGTCGGTTATCTAGGTGGACGAGGAGATCGACGAGGATGCCACACACCGTATAGGGGTTGGGTGGATGAAATGGAGGTTAGTATCTGGAGTCCTATGTGACAAAAAAGTGCTATCATTACTCAAAGGTAAAATTTTATAAAACGGTGGTTAGATCAGCCATATTGTATGGACAGAGTGTTAGGCGGTTAAGAACTCACATATACAGAAGATGAAAGTAGTAGAAATGAGAATGTTACGGTGGATGTGCGAGCACACTAGGGTGGATAATATTAGGAATGCAGATATTCGGGAGAAGATGGGCGTGGCTCATATAGATGACAAGATGCGGGAAGCGAGACTAAGATGGTTTGGGCATGTGCGGAGGAGAGGCCCTGATGCCCCGGTAAGTAGGTGTGAGTGGTTGGCTTTGGCGAGTACAAGAAGAGATAGAGGGTGGCCTAAGAAGTATCGGGGATAGGTGATTGGGCAGGACATGGTGTGGCTTCAGATTTCCGAGGACACTTGATAGGAAGGTGTGGAGTCGAGCATTAGGGTTGTAGGTTAGGAGGTAGTTGAGCATTTTTCTGCTTCGTACTGAGTGTGAGGCTAGTTTGATAGGGTTTGTCTTAGACTGCTAGTGGTTAATGTTGTGTTCACACTATATTTCCTTTTTCCATAGCACCGGGCCTTATTTACTAGTTGTTGTAATTGAGTTTCATCTATTTCTGGTTCTTATGATGCTATTATTATTTCTATGGTTTTTGTTGATGGTACTGAAATATTGTCTCTTTCTGTCTTTTACGTCTTCTTGAGCCGAGAGTCTATCGGAAACAACTTTTCTATTCCATCGGGATAGGGGTAAGATTAGCGTACACACTATCCTCCCCAGACCCCACACCCATAGAATTTTACTGGGTTGTTGTTGTTATGAAAGACGAAATTTGGAGATGATGTAAGTTGGGATAGAGAAAATGTAAAAAAGCGGTGAACAGTTAATGTGTCATGCCTTGAGCTATATGTTAAAGAAGTGCTGAATCAAATATGTATATGAAACTTTCATAAAGTAGCAGTGAAGAAACAACTGGTGATCATTTAGATAGTTCTGCTTCTAAATCTTCTAATTCATTCTTAAAAAAAATTACTTCATTGTTTTTTACTATTATAAGATTTGCTTTGTATCATTCAATGCTGCTTCTATTGAGACATGTCAAACACAACTACAGTTATCTTAATCGAAATGGCTTCATATCTGCGTAGATTGATATTTGGTGTCATCTAAATATGCAATTTTGATGGTGAAAATTTTATGATATTGAGCCTCCTTAACTTTGAATCCATTCATAATCTCTGATACTCTTTTAGTCTTCATTCCATGTAATAATGCAGGTAAATACTCAAGCCGCATCCAATATTATTGATTGTAGTGATCGTAACAATTCAAAATACTATGTTGTCGTTGTACAGGTAACTATCTGCAACTTTTGCTCAAGATGGAGGAAAATTACTCCAAATACTATGTAAATATCTTTACTATTTTGATCAACAGTATGCAGCTCGATTTAATGCTGAGTCTGTAAAGAATTTTCCGTACACTCTCAATGAGAGCAAGATAGCCAAGAAGAAATTCAACAGTAAGTTACATCTCTTTATTACAAAAACATGCATTTGGTCTAATACTTAAGGTAGTCAGAAAACTGAAATGGATTAGCATACAGCTTCGGATAATCGTAATTGTGTATGAAGATATTGAAAAAAACTGTTATTCTTTTGTAGATAGATCAACGAGAACTGTTTTATTTTGATTGTACCAAGAAAAGACTTCCCATGAAAAGTACATTTTAGCTGTATAGACTATCGACCCATATATAAGCAAAACTAGGGATATTTATAGACGTATGAGGACGCATATATTGCAAAACTGAATGTTCTGCTCTTGTTTGAGTAATAAAAATTCAAACTTTTTCTCTTTCTCAATTTAGTTACATTCTTTAGAAACTTTACAAATTAAATATTAACCTTGTATCTCAAGAGACTGAGAGATGTGTCCTGAAACGAGGTCCCTTTCCTCCTATTTAACTGTCAAAATGAAAAGAAAATCGGAAACATAAGAGTGTACTCGTGACACACTTCTTTCTTTTGTGGGGTAAGAAAGCAATTATTTGGGCATTACTTGATCTTGGATGCGTTTTTTTTTTGCTTTAGCTCATTAGGGAACCCAATGTGGGAGTTGGAGTGGTGTTAATATAATATGTTTAGAGCAACTCACAAGTAAGTTTACAGTGGACCCGGAGTAAGGATAGCGGGTCTACTATCTACTTTACTGCAGTAGACTAACTTCTCACTAATGCTACTCTTAATTTTTGTGACGCCAAGCTAGAAAAGCAGGCCATTATTTAAGTTTGACATTGTTAATGGCGTCAGTAGGCCTCTAAATATGTTAGAAGGGGTGTCTGGCAGCATGAAGTTCAGGAACAAATTGTTTTTTTAGGTAAATAACTTTGTATTCTGTGTAAAGCTTTACAAAACCATAGCTCGACTAATTACATAGTCAGCTATCTAACCAGTATCAAAAACCAGAGAAACAAAAGCCTATACTACATTAAAAGACTAGATCTATCTACTAGAACAAAAGGCTATGTAGCAAAATCTGGACTCTCGGGGCTGCTCTAACATTACAAATTTCCAATGGCTTCCCAGCTTCTACTCTTCTTTTTAAAGACCCGTTGGTTCCTTTCTATCCATATTGCATAGAGCATTCAGCATATGTCATCCTAAAAATTTGAGCTTGTTGGGATCTACCTCTAGAGCAATTGATGGCCCAATCACAGGCTGTGTAACTTTGTCTTTGTAACCACTGCTGCATCCTGCCTCATAGCTTCCTGGAGTAATCATACTCAGCTATGGAATGATCTCTTGTCTCAGCTTGTGTTTGACATAGGTAGCAATTCAAATCCACAGTCTGTGACATATGAATGTCAGGAACAAATTGTTAATCTAATGTCCGGATGGCCTAAATAATCTCACGCTGGAAATTCTTTATTGTGCTTCTTTACATAAATGGTTTACTTGCTGGATACATAAAGTTCCATGAGCTCATGTCAATAATTTTCTTGGAGAAACTCTGAGTAAATCATCTGAGAGTCGCAATGACTGTGTTAACTATATTTGGCATTTGGATACATTGCCATACTACAATAAGAATGACTATTTGAAAAGCATACTTCTTATTCAGGAAACGTTGAGCAAACAACTGAGGTTATGATGATGGACTTATTTTATGCATTCTTCCTCTTCATTCTATACTGGGAGCAAATAGAGTTGGATGCTATAAGTTTATGAGGTGCAATGTCTTCTTTGGTGTCTGCATTTTGCTTGAGTACTGCTTATAGAATGATGTTAGCCACTGGATGCTTTTTGCAGTGAGGCTGGCTCCTGAGGAAACATCAGTAAAGCTGATTGGTTATGAGCACAATGCAGTCACATGTATTGGCATGAAAACCAACATACCGGTACCCAGTCTCTTTGTTCTTTCACTGAAATTGTCATAGTGTTCCCCAGTATTCTTCTGTTTACAGTTAACATTTGAACTGTTCCCATGTCACTCTCCACATTAGTTAATGAAATGTTTTGCAACTCATCACACTCATTACTTTCTCTAATGCTGCAGCTGATGGTAGCTAATGCCATATCAGCTAGTTTAAGAGCTGCTCCTAATGAATGCCAAGATTTGTGATTACATTCTCTAATGCTGCAACTGGTGGTACCTAATTTCCATATCAGCTACTTTCTGAGCTGCTTCTAATGAAATCCAGGATTAGGTGGATAATCACACTAATGAAGATATTAACTTGACTGGAACACTCCTGCTGTAAATCATTGATTCCTCTAAAGTATTGTTGGTTAAACCACAAAGCATCTGTCTCTCTTGCCTCCTGCACTCATGTGCATTACATCAATGTGTATTAGGTAGTGCAGCCTTCTTGTCCACAGCTGTTTGCTGTAGCTTGAACAAATTGGGCCCTGAGATCTTGTTGCCTGTGTCTTGATTCCTGTCACTCTCTTGCTTACACCAATTGCGAATAATATGTGATATATGCTGACAGGTCCCCGGTCTACCACATTTAGATGGAAAGTGGACTAATTGGTATGTGTTTTACTCTCCATCATTCTTTTTCATTAATGGACTCTATGCTATTCATTGTGCCAGCTGTGCTGCTTCTCACTGTTCCTAAAATCTGTATCTGTCAATGTTGTTGATCTAGAAATGCAGCCTGCCAGTTTTTCTCACTTCTCGCTAGATTAGAGGCCACTTCCTTGAAGTTTTGGACCCCTTTGTTGAACATTACTACGCTTTTGCCTATAATTAAATTTCATAGAGAAGCTTTACTTTTTGCAACTAGTAGGCAGAAGAGCGAAGGCCACTGAAACTTGCTCAACAACTAAAGAGTTATCAGTTATCTATAGCAGCAAAACGTAATCTTAAAGTGATAGACGAAGAAGTACTTTATTGATGATTCTCGTGCTAGTACTTGTGAGCACGTGATTTTTGTTTACGCGACAATTACTCCAAAAGAAAATCGAAAAATAAAACAAATGGTTTTGTTGTACAAATTTTTGTGAATTTGCTTGGCATTTTTTATAGTTTTTATCTGTGATAGTTTAGTTTTATCAATTGAAAATACAAAAATGTATGTCGCGCATAAAGTTGGGATCTTGTGCTACTATTAGGAATTAATTAAAGTCATATTCGATTTTGAATGAATAGAAAATCACAAAAATATTTGTCTTGTTAATTTTTTCGTTTTATCGTTTAAAGGTTGATTTTTGTTTAATTAATATATGATATTGTGTGTTAATTATCACTAAAAATCAATTGGAATCTTGTGATATAATTTTGATTTTTTATATTTCTTATAATATTTTTTTAGAATTTTGTAAATTCGGATTTTTATGGGAAAGGAAAAGAAATAAGTTGAATTGGATAAAATTGGGATTGGGCCATTTCAAATTGGACCCAAAATTGGGCCCAAAGCATTTGTTTTGCCCGGTCCAGATCAGTTGGCCTCAGGGACGTCCAAACGACGTCGTCTTGATTATGCTTGATCTGGGCCGTTGATCTCAGAATGATCAACGACCAAGATCACAAACCCTAACCCATCTCAGCCAACCCGACCCAGCACCATCCACGACCCAATCCCCACAGAGACCAAAACGACCCCGTTTCATATAGTTAAAGTGATCCAAACTGTTGATCTCATTAGATCTAACGGCTTGGATTCATTCACTCACCCCGTATATAAGCCTGTCCCTCTCACCCCGTGCCCTAAGCCAGACCCCCCCTCCCTCGAGTCGTCTCCCTCACTGAACCCAAACCCTTAGAACCCTAGCGCCGCCCCCCCATTCCCCCACCATAAACCCGGCGGCAACGATGCCATTGACTACCAGATTAACACCCCTAGTGCACCTCGACCCCCTGGACACGGATCTGCAAATCGTTGGTCTCAAACCTTCCCCTATCGTCTCGAATCTTCATTTGAAGATTCGAGCTAAACCTCAACCTATGCCAAACCACCCCAAATCCACACCAGTTACTCCCCTGAC